GGGTGCATACAGTACAATAAGGTATTTTGAGAGAAAGAGACCTCATTCACATAACTTATTACACATACTGTTACAATTGTTCTATTTTATTATTCGTTGTTAATCTCTTACTGTGCTAATTCATAAATTAAACTTTATCACAGGTATATATGTACAGGAAAAAACAGTATATATGGTGTTTGGTACTATCTGTGGCTTCAGGCATCCACTGGGGGTGTTGGAACGTGTCTCTGTGGATAAGGGGGGACTAATGTGCAGCTAATCTAACGCATCGCTCAGGTTGAATGAGGCACCTGCAGCCTTTCCCACAGCAGGGCATAGAGTGCAGACCTACAAAACACTGTTTCCTGTTTCCTGGAAGCCTGTTTGGAAACTTGACAGGAAGTTCCATGCAGCGGAAGTACTGAGGGGCTCTCAACTCTCCCAATACACACACCTACCATCCCCTGATAGCAGCAAATTTTACAGAAGAGGCGTGGGGGCAGTCACATCCAGGAAGAACTATTCAGTGTTATCTAAGTAGGAAGCTGTTTCATCTGGTACCTTCTACTGAGGGAGTGGCCAGACACTGCTGGGGACCTTCATCTAACACACCAATAGGGCCCAAGAGGACTCAGGATTTCTTTTATATCAGGGACACTCCACACACCCACCTTCCTCCACTAATGCCTCCCTGGACTAAGCCACGGCCATTTTACATCTAGATTAATCCAATAGCCACCTAATTGGTCTCTTTATTTCCATCCCTGTTCCCTGCCTCCCCGAAGTCTATTCTCAAATCAGCAATCAGAGAGATGCTTTTAAAACATAAGTCATGTCACTCCTCAAGCCCCGGCAATGACTCCCCATCTACTCGGAGTAAAAGCCAAAGCCCTTCCCGCGGCCCACAAGGCCCTGTGAGATATTCATACCATCCCCCCCGACCATCCACTGCATGCCCTACCGAGGACACACCCCAGCCTACTCCCCAGACACCACCAGTTTCCCCCCACATCCATCCCGAGGCATCTCCTCTGGGCTTGCTCATGGCTCTCTTCCTCCTACTGACCCTCGATTCACCCTTGCCTTTGTACTCTCTGCCTGGGGGCTCTTCCCGGCTTCCTGTATGGCTCCTTCCCCACTTCCACTGTTTGACTCTCACCTTATATGGGGGCCTTCTTGACCACCCTCGTTAGGGTGGCCATCAGCACTCTCCACAACCCTGACCCGTTCATTTTTCTCAATAACATTTAGCACCATAACACTTTATCAGTCTCTCTCTATATTCCAGTCTATTATTTCTCTAAGGTAAAGACCAACCATATGAGAAAAGCAAAAGTAATGCAGTCATAGTTTATAAACTATGCAAGGGAGTAAGTCAGCCACTGTCACTAGAATTTCAGCAGAGGCCCAGAGGCAGACAAGGGAGTGGTAAAGCTTTACAGTGGAAGACAGAGAAGGCTCCAGGCGTGCCCTGATGGAGGCTGTGGGCATGGGGCAGCTGGAGGCGGGCTGCCTGGGGTGGGAGCATCCTGAGTGATCAGTTCGGGGTGCATATTTGGCTTTTTCTTGTTGGTACTAAGGTGGACATGGAGATAAAAGTTAGGGAAGCTGTCAGTTCTTAGGCAGGTCCTGGCCATTCGAGGAAGCTCATTACAGGAGTGATTGTTTAGCTTCATGGATTGTTTACTAGTGAGGACAGTCTGGCTTCCTGCAGGTCTGATTCATGGCAGGCTGGCTTCCTGCGCTGTTTATCACAGATACAGGATTGGTCTCATGGGCAGAATGCTGCAGATGGTGGGTCAGAGTTTCGTTTTTCTCTATGGTCCAGCCCCCAACCATTTGGCTAGTCAGTCTCTTATCCCTCACTAGGATCTAAATATTAGAACATTGTTTTATTTACTGCTGTATCCCCAGAGCCTGGAACACTAGGCACCCAGCAGGCACTCAGTAACTGCTGATAATTATAATAATGTTTATCTAGATCTAGTTAGAAAAGTTGTGACTCTGCTATGTGGTCTGGGTAGGAAACTAAAGATAAGCTTGCATAATTCAATGCAATTCTATAAATGTATTATGAGTGCTTGCTACATACCCAGGAGGCTCTGAGTCGATTCGTGGTTGTTCACTGCATATGACTCAGGACACGTATTGGCTGAGAAGCAATTGAAGACCAGGATTCTGAATGCTTTATCCTTTGCTCAAAATTTCTCTTCTCTCTCACTTTGAACACAGCTCTGCCTTTAAGACACCTGCAGGTTCCAGGTCTTCATTCTGCTTTCAGACACTACAGTGGCCCCAGTTGCTTTCTCCACCCTCACTACCTATAAGACTCATTTAGTTCCTGTGGAGTGCCTGTGCAGTTGCTGGTTGTCTTTCAAATGAGCTGGTTATCCTCTCAGTTGGATTACACCCTTAGAGCAAAACCCACCTCTCACCCCCGGTACAGGTGACACATGGTGGGGGGTCTCAGCAATCTGAGTCTCCCCACTCTGTCCTATATTTGACTTTTCCCCTGAGCTGCAGATCAGCTCTCTGACAGGTCTAGGAATCCTGCCATCTTCCACAGACAGAAGGCACCCGTGGTTTAGAGCTGTCATCCGGAGGAACATAGACAGTAGGCTGGCCTGCGGCCCCAAGGCTGGGGCCCGGGTGCAGAGTCTCAACTATTTTCTGAGAAGGGCTCCCCATTCAGCTTAAAAAAAAAAAATGTTTAAGTGATTCTAAGTTATCTGTTCTCCTAGAAAGGAGATTCCAGGTTTGGGTTAATTTATCTTACAAATAGAACGTGCCAGGAGCCAAGAAACAAACAGGCCAGGGTGGAACCGGAAATAGAACCTTTACAATGGCTTATCAGCAGGCCAAGTTTGGTGGTAGCAGATGGAATGTAAGCTCCTCAAGGGTAGGGGCTTGAGGCTGCTATGTTTATTAATGTATCAACACTGGCACACAGGGCATGCTTCACAAATATTTATTGAGTGAATGGGAATAAATACACACATTCAATTTGAAATGCCAGTTTCAATAGCGATCATTTTCAATATTCATTCATTGTGTTGCTTTAGTTTTCTCAGCTATCACAAAACACATTCCTTAAAAAGGTAATGATAGAACTACAGACGTGAAAGGGGGCTCTGAGGAGCAAAAGTGTCATTGCCCACTTCTGTTTATGAGCCACACTTGCTCTTAACACAGGCAACAGAGATGTAGATGCTGCTTCTTAGTGCACAGGAAAGCTTGACTTCAGAATTCAGCACGTGGTTTCAAATCCTGCCACAATTACAGATCCTTCTGTGGTCCAATCTCCGAACCTCTTTGCTCCAATTTTATAATGAATCAGGCAACTCAACATCAATATGTTCATAGGTGTTTAAAGCCTTGGGAAAAAAATGTGAGAAAACTTTCAAAAGATCCACAATGGTCCCTGGTTTCATTTATTTAGATAACTTTTTATTTTTCGCCATAACCCAGTGAATGTTAGAAACAAATGGCCTCAGCCTTGGACCTCATGTTTCTGACTGAATCTAATCAAATAGTCAAATATGCAAAAGAAAGGCCAAGTTTCTCTTGACAGAAGGCTCCAGCCACTCCTGACCCCATGTCTTGGGTTCCTCGGAGCTCACATCCTGGGGCTTAGAAGACAATCCGCTCTTCCTGCCCATCACGAGCGAAGAAACTGAGGTCTTCAGACAGACCCCAGCCCTCAGGAAGTCCCTCCTTGTGCCTAATTTGAATCTCTTCTTCTGGCCGAGACGCACAATTCCCTCTTGCCCTGTCATGGCTGGAGAAGGGTACAGCTGCTTGCCGCCCTCCTTTTAATCATCCTTAATGAGATCATAAACAGTTATTAGATCCCCCTTCAGCCTTCTCTGAGCCTCATTTTACTTGCATTGAGGCTGAGAGCTTCTGAGGAAGGCATTTTACTCAGAGCTCCACAGACTTGTGGAGTCTTAAATGGGTAATCAGCCACTTCACCCACTTTAATCTCCACAAGTGAACAACTCTGCTTTCTTCTGCGAAATTTAAACCTATTCAAGGGACTTCCCTGGCAACTGACCCTTACTAATAAATCATGCCTGCTCTAGGCCAGGACAGGGCATTTTTTTTTCCTGAGAAGTCACCCTGGCACACAGGCACGCAATAAACAAGCAGCTGCTCCCTCTGGAGTTCTGCATTTGCAGGATGGACCCTGCCTGGTGACCCCACCCCCTGCCCCAGGCCATTGTGGGCCTCAGGGAGTTCTCATCTGTCTCCCCAACTGGGGGAGAGGAAGGCTGCTGCTCTGATAGACTCTCACCTGGTCCTTTCTTGTGATTATTGGACAAGAAACACAGCAGCTACGGGGCAGGACAGAGTATAAAGGGAGGCTTGCTTAGCTTCGACTAGGCACACACTGGAAAGTTCCACTTCATATTCTATCATGGAGCCATTTGTTTTCAGTTCAATGCTTAAACCCACAGGTGAAAGTCCCAGTTGTATGGTTGGATAGTGTTTCCCATTGGTCTTCTCCACGCTGAGTCCTGAGCTTGCCTCCAGTCACAGGAGGCCAGAGCAGGAGCAGGGCAGGGAGGCTGTAAGGCTGGTGTTGTTTTAGCTTTGAGAAAGAGTGATTTCATTTCAAGAGAAATTGTAACCAGGGTGGTTAAATTGAAAAGGGCAGACAATACCAAGAGTTGACCAGGAATTAAAGCAATTGCAACTCAGTCATTGTTCGTGGAATGATAAACGGGAGCCACTAACTGGAATACCTGACAGATTCCAGCAATGACTCTCACAGTTCCACTCCTGGAATAAGCTCAGAAGAAATGAGTGTTCATGCTCACCAAAAGACATAGAGTTGGAAAGTTCACAGAGTTGGAATTCATGAGTAAAAAACTTGCTGCAGCCACCCAAGTGTAGAATGAATAAATTATGATATATTCCCACAATGGAGGAAGACACAACAATGAAGAGAACTTACCTACAGTATAACATGGTGAATCTCACAGACACGATGCTGAGCAAAAGCCAGACACAAAGGAACACATTGCATGTGATTTCATTTGGCATTCCAAAAAGGCAAAACTAGCCTATGACAAAAATCAGCCTCTGGTTGCCTCTGGAGGGAGCCTAATGTCAAGCTGAATACCTTAGATCTGGGCATTGTATTGGATATGTTAATCCTCAATTAAAATAAAGAATAAAAAGAATGTGTCTATTGAGTTTTCTTCTTCCCAATAAACAACTCATTATTTGCTCATCTTTTTAAATTTTTCCCAGCTCTGCTTCATTGGGAAAAGATTGGAGGTGACTCACAAAGGTGTATGGTCTTGAGCTGTGTCTGTGAAGAAATCGAGGTGATACTAAAACACGAGCTGGGAAATAAGATCAGACCAGGTGGGGGGACCGTCTTCAGGACTCCTGTCAGGAAGCCCTGTGCACCTCCTAGGGATGCCCCAAATGGAGCTTCCTAACAGTAAGTGCAAAGGAAACAAAACAGTTCTGAATCCAGAAGCTGACAGTTCGACCGACCAGAGGCACAGAGACCTTAGAGAGATCTCTGCTGTGCCATCTCAGAAAAAAAGCAATTAGGCAATCAGACCCCTTCCCATTAATTATAAACACCCATTGGGACCCTAGGTGAGTTCCTAGGCTCACATCTCCAACCTCAGGGGTCCCCCGCCCCTATCTTCACAGCATTTAGGGGAGGCAGCAACCCACATTCAGTCAAGGGGACTCCCCTGTGCCCCCTGCACACGGGCAACCAGACAGACGCCACTTACTTTCCTGGGTGCAGTTTGGGGGACGCCCTGCTCAAGAGGGCTGCGTCTCTGTTCTTGGGGGTGCCTGATTTGCCATCCTGGTTTCTGGCCCCCCAGCCTGCATCCTCAGCCTGCACTTTGCCCTTGGGCCTGTCTCCTACCTTGTCGGAGCTCCTGGGTGGCCTGGCTCTTTCCCCAGCGGCTGCTCTACTCTGAGCAGCTCCCTCCAGTCTGGACTCTTTTGGCATTTGAGTTAATGGATCTTTCCACTTTCGGGCTCCACTTTTTGAGTTGAATTCATATACTGCCCCGGTAACTAAGGGAAAAAATAGAAAACGATGGAATTCTAAATGAAGGGATTCAAATTCTCTTCTCTCCTGTCTCCACCCTGCTCTGTCCCCACCCCAGGGAAAGACTGAGTGGGCTGGAAGGTGGGGGTCATCCAGACACTAAGCAGGCTAATAAACAGCACAATCTTCACCTGCCTTTCCACCAGCTCTACAGCTCCAGCCACACAGGGAGCAAACATCATGCTTCCCTGGCTAGGAAGGTTAAGGAGTCTTAAGCCCATCTCAGTTGCAAGGTTAGAAGGTCACGTAAATCTTGAATTCCACATGACTTTTGGATAAATTAAGTTCGATTTCAATGGGTTACCCATTACATTTTGATTTGTTTAAAAAGACACCTGAATCCCCGATGTGGGAAGGAATTCACCAAGTAAGGAGGGAAAGACTGATTTTTATTGATGTTAGGTTGGCAGAGATTTACTGACACAGACACCCAAATCTGGCCACAGTTGAGATGATGCACGGGAGCCATTTTTACTGTGTCAGAGGCAGCGGACGCTAAGTGGTGAGTTTGTGCACCGAGTCCCGTGGGCTCATTTCTTCCTATTTTCTTCTCTCAAACACACAAATGCAGGAGAACAGTAGTGGGCCTCCCCGACTTTTGCCCCAGAAGGTCAAGTTTCAGGCGAGCCCCTGCTCCTACCCTTTGCACCAGGGCTCTGAATGGGCTCTCAGCAGAGGATCCCACAGGCACTTATGCTAATGTGGGCACATTATGGTAACAAGTACCTAATAATAGAGGGAAATTTAATTCCAGCGGCAATGGCAGCCTCTCTTGGAGAGGAGCCATCCTCCTTCCTGGGACGGGAGCGTTTGCATGTGAGGGTGGCGGCGAGCCAACACACTTGCCTCCTTTATTTGGTTTCCTTCCCTTTATTCACGTCTATAATTGAGCCTTTGTAAGCGAAGGGATGTGTGTAAAGGAGCTAAATTTGGAGCTGATTTCATGGGGTTGATGAGAGCTCTGGAGGCCAGCTTTACCTTATGTTCATCTTGCCGACCAACAGGAAATTCTTGGCCCTGATCTTGGAAAAAAAAGCAGCCAGCTTGCGTTTCTCAAGATCTCTCACTAACCATAGGATGGTGTTAGAGGCAGTCAGAAAGGATGGGGTGATGGGAGGTTGAGCCCCAGTGAGAGGGAAAAATTGTGGGTTCTTGAATTCACCAATTCCTTGAATTGGTTCTTGGTTTAGGAAGGGAGGCTAGATAGAGGCTTGAGTCCCTGAGTGGGGGCCTTTCGGTGGGAAGCCCTCTGAGGCCTCACATGGGATCATATGCTTGAGCGTCTGCAAGCCAGTTCTGTTCAGAGCGGATCACGTGTTGTACTGCAGCCTAGAAGGGTCAGCACCGTACAGATAACATTAACCAAATGGGTTGACAAACGTAGTTAAGAGCCGGAAATTGGATAAGCTGCTCTGTGACTCTACCAGCTTGGAATACGAAAAAATCCTGTACGGGTGGCCCTGGCACTTAATTACCTGGGTCTGTGGCTTCTCCATCAAAGACAGTGTTCATCTGGATTGTTTCCTAAGGAGAAGAAAGAGACAGCTTCAAGAACAGCCCCGAAGGTCTCCCCCAAGGCAAGACCAGCCATCCTCGCAGCCTGAGATCCTTATGCCTGCCTTCCTGACATTTCTTTATTCAACAGGCCCCACCGTGCTATATGCTGAGGACACAGCAGTGAGCAAGGCAGGTGTGGTTATTGTCTGCGAAATTTGCAATCAAGTGGGAGCTGTTACTGTTGACAAAGAGGTGCTGCGATATAAAGTGACAGGGCTTTGGACAGGCAGAGGCAGAGGGTGCCCTGGGGGTGCAGGTGGGCACGGCAGGACAGTTCATCCACACTTAGGGGCAAGGAAAACATCCTGAGCTGCATAGCAGAAAGAACAGAAATGCCATGCAACACTGGCAAGGGGCTATGTCCCCTAAGGGGGACCCACCTCGTGGCAGGCAGGGCAGGTACGACCCGTGGCTGGGCTCCTGGGCCAGTGCGGTGCTGCCTCTGCACCGGGCCTGCCTTCCATAAGCACTGGGCCCCTCATCTTTCTCTTCCCCATCTGTATTCTGTCTGTGCCACCCTCAGGACCTGAGCTCCGACCCCATGGGAGCTCCACCTCCCCTCACATGGTGCCCTCCAGTGGTGCCATTCTTAGCATGCCAACGAGGACTGTGTTTACAGTCTAGTGGGCCTTTCAGCCTGGTTTTCACCATGTAAGCATCGCCTAGTCACGTGCCCACAGCTCCCCATCTCTGAAGAGAGGCAGGCAATGGAGACCATCTGGGCTTCACCCACTGATCAGCTCAGCCCCTGCACTTTTTGTGGCCATGGGGATCTACTTATTTAACTGAGTAATTTAGTATTACCTATTTCTAAGGCAGTCTCTGGGTGGCACCATGAGTACTTGCCTTACGTGGTAAGACCTAGGAGAGAAGAGACAGCCTCTTCCTCCTCTCTGTCCACAGCCCAGCACAGGAAAGCACCTATGGGCCTGGAGCAAAAGTTCCAGAGCACTGCACTGTCTCCCCATGCGTGCATCACCCCCCAAATGTATGGGTCTTAGATCAAAACAAAGTTTTCTTATCATGGATGGAGGAGAGCTGGGGGGTAAACTTCCACTTCCATCACTTTCCAGTGGGTGGATCAGGCTCAGTAAAAGAAAATCAAGGAGAAAAGCGAGGGTGGTAACCAGCCAGCTGTCCTGGAACGCTTCGCATTGGCGTGACTCTTAATTTCCCCACCTGTCATCTCAGGGCAGGTGTTTTCACTCCCATTTCCCAGATGAAGAAGCTACAGCTTAAAGAGGCCGAGGGAGTCCACCAGGTCCTACAGCCAAATGGGCAGAGCCAACCCTGCGCCCGAGCAGTGCCCTCTCCCTGTCATTTTTCTGAAAGGTTGTGGAAGAACAGAGGAAATTTAAATCCCTTTGGAGGATTAAGCACCAGTTCTGGCCTTTAAGCTCATCTCCCCCAGCTCACTCTCCTGGAGAGCGGGTGTAGATAATAAACACCACTCTTCAATATTTATGAAATCCAGTTCTTCTGCAAATATATCAGCAGACATGTTCAGTGGAGGGAACAAATTCTATCAGGAGCTCGTCACACAGCAATCTGTTCCAGTGGCCAAATTCAAGCATCTCCCTGAATAATAAACACCCCTGTGGGGAGGTGGCAGGGTCTGCCTGGGGGTGACGGGAGTCTGTCACCACATACCACCCAAGCCCTGTGTCCCATGGCCAGCCATACTTACCACCACCACCTCTCTCTTGGTATCCTTCATTTCTACAGGAAATAAAACAGACAAAAGTTAAGCTTCTTGGACATTAAATTGACCTTAAAATTCTACTCCCACAGTGGGATTTCTCTTAAACAGGCTTTGAACTTAGCATTGCAGACAAGGCAAAGAATTTTCTATCTGTAGACGTTTGTTGACAGATTTTCATCTTCTCAGAAAAATACACACAAAATAACATACAGAGTTATAAAAAAATAATTTTTTTTACTCTTTCCCAACTTACTGTTATTGCTGATCTAGGAAATTAGCTTTTAATGGTTTTATAGATAAAGAAATATTGGGTTGATAACATTTGTTCATAATATGGGGATTCTTTGCATCCATTCCCTATGCCCTTTTTAAAAAGCAACTAGAGTGGGTGACACTTTATGAAAAATCTCATTTATTGAAGTCATATCATTTGTTATGATCAATAACTATTATAACCAATGTCTAACCCTGCTTAGACATGTCTTGTGCATGTCAGACATAAGTGCCTATGGTGGAGTGATTAAAGCAATCATTTTTTTTATTAAGGTATGATTGATATACACTCTTATGAAGGTTTCACATGAAAAAACAATGTGGTTACTACATTTACCCATATTATAAAGTCCCCACCCATACCACACTGCAGTCGCTGTCCATCAGTGTAGTAAGATTAAAGCAATCATTTTTAAAAAACACATATTCCAATTCTTTGTCCTGTCTCTCCCTGTGGCCTGAATTCTCCTTGAAGCAGCAGCTTTTGGGGCTGGGTGGCAACATCTCAAGCTTGGATACCTTGCTCAATTCATCAACATCCCTGAAATCACTCAGCTTTCCCCGCCCACCTGACTGTAACCAGCCCCTTTCTAAGTAAGCTGACTGACCCCCAAATAACTTATGAAAATGATCAAATCCATTACAAGCTGAGAAGCAAGTAACACTGGTTCTTTAAAAAGACACATCTGTCCCATGCAAGAAATGAACTGTCCTCAGGAGGGCTCACACCCCTCCATCCGCAGCCACAAGTGGGCACTGTCTGTGTTTAAGCCATGGAGAATTCTTCAGTTCTCCTCCAGTGGCAGGGAACAGACCTCTAGGTTCTCACACTGAGCTGATTGTAGGTGACTCTGGGTAGGGAACAGGCAGGACCAAAATTAAAGACCCAAGAGGCCTCCTGGCACCACGCACCCACCTTCCCTTTCTCCAGCTACACCTGATCTGTTTCATTCGCCCATAGATGAGGGCAAATTTCACAGCTGAAAACCCCCAAGACAGGACTGTGCCCTGATTCTCTGCCAAGTTGGGGCCCTTTTATGTAGTACATCAGAGCAGGAAAAAACCAACAGCAATAAACAAAGGCAATAGGCACCATACATACCTTGTTTCTTCACCCTGTGGGGGGAAAAAGGATGGACAAGAATTAACCCAAGAGAATTCTGCATACATGATAATGTGGGGGCCTGTGGGCAACTGTATTCAGGGGTTGATTAAAGAGGGGCCAGGGATAGACCAAAGTAAAGGCTGGGATCCCACCCCTGCTCCAGACAGAGCAGCTTTATCACTACTCGTTTGGGACTAAGGAGGTTCTGGGAATTTGATAACTTTAAACTCTACAGTTTTACAGAACTTCGGGGCATGTGTTTTCTCTGACAACACTGAATGAGGGCATGACCGCTCCAATCAGGAAGCCCTGGTGATTCTTCCTGCCCAATTTTTCTCCTCAGTAGCCAGCAGAGCAGAAGGCTTGGTTTATGGTGGAAGATTCAAGGGCTGGCAGTTAAAGCATGGTTTCCTAAAACATGAAGAGCTGGACTTGGGTGTTAAGCCCCTTCCCATGATAACCCTGGAGTCTAAAATTCTATGACTCTAATTTTATTCTTTGCTATTGGACAAATACTGGCTGCCATGTGGTACAACTAATCTCCAGAGAGGCCGGGTCTTAGTCTGAAAAACCAACTAGTTTTTTTTTTTTTGCAGTTAACCACATTGCAAACCATTAATATTTAGAATGTAAGCTAAAGCAACCAGATTTCAGGTGCCCATTTAATATATAAGCATCAAGTGCATATGAGTTTCAGTGTCTGTTGAATTACCTCCTTTAAGAACTTCTGCCTAAATCCCATTGCAGAGCTTGCCAGCCTTACAAGCTTAGGCGTCACTCTTCTGCAGCCAACTTTTTTTCCCCCAAAATCAATTTGTGAGTGGAGTTCAAACAAAAATGCCTTTTTTAATTTCAGCAGATGCTCGAGGATTTCTTACCTTGAAGTCAAGGTTGCCAATAGCAACGAACTTCGCCAATAAATATGGCAAATGCTGTGCTCATCATTATGCTAATGCCTCGTGCTTTTATGTGGTCTTTCATCCATAGATTTTAAATTATCTGACAATACTAGTTAACCTTCAAAATACCTTTAAAAGTCACATGAGTCTTATCACATCTTCTTTTATCAGTGAGAAATTCCAAAACTCAGGTTCCAGTACCCCCAGGATACTTGGCATTAAAGTAAACTTGGAATCCAGAATCCTGAGCTCACTGGGACTCAGCCATGAAAAATAGTGCAACCAGATTTTTTAAAACAGTGTATTAAGCATTTACTACATCGGGGACAGTGCTAAATGCTTTCTTTGCATTTGCTCATTTATTTGTTTAGTTTTCAATAAGGAAACTGAGATTCACAGAGGTCACTTGCCGAAAGCCATATACCCAGAAAAGGGAGGGGCAAGATTTGAAGCCAGGCCTTGCCTCACTCCAAAGCTCACACTCAGAGCCACGATGCTGTCATTGTAAGAGCTCAGATACTCAAGAAACTGGCTCTGGGGGAAGCTTTGAGCAATGCAGTGCTCTCTTCATTTCCCTCACCTCAGCCAGTAAGACATTCCACAGAGTGTCTCCATGCATAAGAGGCATATTGGTGAGCAGGCGAGAATATGGAGAGGAAACAGACCTGCGTTTCCAGCCCTTGAGAGCTGATGGGGCTATGTGCAAAAACACAATGATGATTTACTCACATAAAAGCCCAGGTGAGTTGCTGGAGCCATGCTGGAGCCAAAAATGTAATTCCCTTATCAGTTTTCTGTGCTTCCTTTAATTCCATCCTATCCTTTCGCTCTCCTATGAGTAACAGCACAGCCAGCGTGGTCTATCACTACTCACAGCTGGGCTTTTCTCTGAAGCTTTTATCCAGGCCAAGGTCACTAAGAGGTTGAAGCCCCAATTTCATTGAGAATGCAGCAAGGAGGGGCAGGTGCCAGGGAAAACAAAAGACAGTTTCCTGGCCCAGCGGGTCATGAAGGGGGCACCTGAACCAGGGGGAGCTAGGATTCCTCCCCCCAGATCTCCTTTCCTTCCTTTACTGCAGCTCTCTCTGCCCTGTAGAGAAATCCTAATTCTCTCTCTTTCCTTCAGACATCACAGGAAGTAGTGTCCTGAAGGAAGCAGTGGAAAGGGCCCAGCCCACTGGCCACTTACACAGCTTTTCTGTGCTTCCCAGTGTTGCAGAGACAGTGTTTGTGGATGGCTTTGGCCAACAGGATGAGCAGGGATGCCAGGAGGCCCAGAAGCAATATGGAGCCCAGAGTGGTGACAAAAGGCACATACCACGCCGATGGAGAGTAAACGTTTTCCCTCAGGACCTGGTAGATAATCCTGGGCTTGGAGGACAGAGAAGGGGAGGGTGAGTGGAGGGTGGTGGCATTTTTGATATTAGCACTTCCTCCCATTGAGTGTTTATTTCTCTCTTTGTCCTTGCTCTACAAACTGGACATCTGTGTGCTCATAGTTCTTGCTGCTTCAACCTACCACCTTATTTATAGTCTTTCCAGACATCCATGAGATCAAACTCCAGAAAATTAAGGGAACTGAAGAGCAACTCTAGGCCTATTTCATTCTCTGCCTTTCTTTCCTTTCCCAAAAGCTAAAAATTCCATTGCCTTTTGTCCCTGCCCAATCACGGCCTGACCCTGGGGCCTAATAGAGCCATTGTCTCTCACTGGGAAGGCTGGAGCCACAGAAGTTGTGTGTTTTTAAATACTTTGCAGGCTTTCCAGTGTGCACTCACTACAAGCTGCATGGCCAGATGCGTGGGCTGAGACCACAGTGAAGCCGGAAGCTTGGCATTTGCTTCTAGAGAGGGAGACAGAAAACAAGTTGTGGCACGGAGATGTCACAGCTGGGCCATTTTGTAAGCCCCAGAAGGGTGGCGGTTCCTTACTCAGGGAAACCTATTGGCTCCTGCCACCACTCAAGGCCCTCAAGGTCACCTCATTCCTCCATTCTTGGGGATGATATGGACTCAAGCACAGAGGAGATGAACATTAACCAATTCTTGTAAGACTCTGAGAAGCAGAATCGGACCACCTGTCATAGGAAGCTTGCTAAGGTCTGGTGACTTTCCCTCTGGCATACTGCGCATACAGGGCTGCCACCAAGGGCACAACTTTGACTGGGAGCACGAGGAAAGGGGCAAAAGACTTGGCACAAAACATAAGCCAGTTCATCCAAGGAGCAGAGTAAGGTGATCCTGTTATCAGATTCCAAGACTCTCCCTTTCTTCTTCACACTGATTCTGTTATGGCACCTTCATATTTTTTTGCTACCATTTAAACAGTCTTTTTTTATTTTATTAATTTGCATCCCTTTTTGTAATCTGTCTCCCCATCTAGAATGGTGTCTCTCAAACTGTAGTGCACATGAGAACCCTGCAGAGGGCTTATTAAAAACACAGATTTTATTATTAAAAATCCACCCCCAGTGCTTCTGATCCAGTAGGTCTGGGAATATGGTTGGGGATCTCAGGTTCCAACATCCTTCCCTGGAGGTCATGGTGGTGATGACTATGGGTGGGTGAGGTATGACTTTAATGTGCTGGGGTCGCCCAAGTACTTGCATTTCTAACAAGTTTCCAGGTGACATAGATGTGCTGGTCTGGGACCCCAATCTGAGAACCACTGCCCTGTATATGTAAACATATATAAGCTCCATGAGAGGAGAGATCAGTTGTGGCTTGTTTGCTAGAGTGCTTGACATATTATAGGTATTAGATCCACATTTTAGATGGAATGAATGAAATTTTGTGGTGTGGAGGTGGGGAGTAGGGTACAGACTGGTGCACAGTGACTCTCCCAAACAAGTGGAGGAGCTCCTGAATGCTCCCTGTGTTCATGGATATTGACTTGCAGTGGTTCTTACGAGCAAGTGGAAAAGGGGTTGCAAAGGTTGCAACTGGCCATATGTCCATGAACATTGGCTTCTGTGTCAGAAGCACCAGTGACGCTCAATACCTGACCTATCACAAGTTCAGGGATAAAGGCACACCCTTCTCTAAAGGGCAGGAAAAGTTAACAGTCTACAGTCCAAGGTTTCATGCAGATCTTTACCTATACCTAGCAACTACTCAAGTCCAGCCCCTGGTTGCCATTCCTGACAACATCCTAACGTCTCAACTGTGTGAGTCCATCCCACATTTCTCCTGGGTCAAGGGGCTCCATCAGGGGAAATCACAAGGGATGTATCTGGCCAGTCCAGTTCCCAAAGCTCTTACCTTGGGGGTTGTGGTGACAGTTGTGGTTGGATGAGGAATGACACTAATACTCAGTGTCACTGTCCCTGTTTCAATGCGAGCCTCAGCTTTCTTCCTGCCAGAGAGCAAGTTGTCGTCTGTTATGTAGACAAGTAATTTGTAGTCCCAGAGCTTATCAAGCCCACTAACATAGTCAAAGCGTGTTGCAAGGAGCAGGCTTGTGACGTTGGATCCAGCGTTGGGAGAGAAGGTGAAATGACTGTTGATGTTGCCTAAAAGAGATTTGATACAAAGATTTTGGGGAAAGGAATAAAAGAGAGTTGAGAGAGAAAGGTTTAGAAGAAAACTGTATTCAATCTTTTCCTTCAACATCCACACCTCAGGTAGAGACTTTCTGATGCACCAGGGCTTGGTCAGTGAAAGATATGGGCCTTAACTGCACCAGAGATTTCACTAGTACAGGAAAATAATCCATGTGGCTACAATGAAGATGAGAGTAGAAAAGAACAACAGCGCACCTGTCCCAGGAGAATGGCCGCCATCTTGCTGAGCACTGGGCAGAGACTTAATAATCCTGGTGCAGCCTCTCTAGCCAGTTGTCATTTATTTGGTAACAATGTGTCACTCACACTGAGACTAAGGAGTGGGCAGCAACAGGGTAGATTGGGTTACATCCCAGCCCTAGGCCAAGTTCACTCCATGCCTTTGTTGGAAACTGGCTGGTCACACTGGTGACAGATGTCTTGGAGTTCCCCAGGGGAACCCACCTCCCAGCTTGGCAGGCATCACAGTCCCAGGTCCCCCTGAATCCACTCCATCCTACCTCCCCCATAGGTGGATTGGGTCTCACGTCTGACAGTTTAGGGAGCCCAGGGCAGAGAGGCTGCCGGCCGGAGCAGCCCTGGCTCATTCCTCTGGTGGATCCAGACTCATTACCAATTTAAACCAGTAAATGGAGCAAGAGATGATGCAGTTTTTACTCCCTTAGCATCAGCGAAGTGCTCCGTAGAGGCCTAAGGGCTCTCAGCACGGATTATTTCCATCTGCAGCACTGCAGTCTGAGGCAGCGTCTGCCCCCAGTTTTGCGGCACGGTCTGCACGGAGGCTTCCTACTGCTCCAGTTCCTGCTCCGCCCAGGCTCGGCAGGTGGCCCAGATACATTTTTACTCTTTTCACGTGGAATTGCTCTGCTTGTTTGGGTTTCAATCTCTGGCCCCAGCTCTTCATTAGATTAGTTATTTTGGTCTAATTTCCACTGAGGGGTGCTCTTTCTCCCCCCCCACAATGGTATATTTTTAAAGAGAGAAAATGAATGGAGCAGAAGAGAATTCCTGAGGACACATTTCAAAATGCGTTTAATCTATTTAATCTATTATTATCCAGAGAGAGGACTGGGATTCCCTGCCCCCACTACAAGCTTGCAGGAAAAGAGGTGGCTGAGGAGTTGGACTAAAAAAATTTAAACCACACTAATAGGATTCATGAACCATATAGGATGGGCTGGGAATTGGCGGGGAGGGTGGGGGACATCATCAAGGGGCTTTTGCCTTCCCTGGGGCTTTGAGCAGCCATGGATGGGAGTCTGGGAAGAGTTAGGTGAGAAGGAGAAGCCAAGAGGAGGGGGAAGCCCAGGGCCCTTAGACTCTTCATTCAAACCCCCCACCCGTGCACATGGCCCCCATCAGTGTGGAAGCACAGACTCTGACACCGAGAACCCTCAGAAACAGCCCAGGACCATTGCCATCAGTACTGTACCTGGACCAATGGAGTAACGAAAAGACTTGGGGCTGGAATCGAGGTCAGTGCACGAAAGCTTGAAATTTTGAATGTTTGTGCCAACTCTCAGGTCCACTGGGATGGCCAGGAAATAGGAGTTTGGGATACAAACTGGCTCTTCATCATTTTCTTCGAGGACATTCACAGTAACCTAGAGCCGCAAGGAGGTGGCCATTGTTAATAGCTTAAACTAACTGAGTGCTTACCGTGTGCCAGACCCTGGGCTCTGTGCTTTTTGTGGACTGGCTCATTTAACCTCCCCTGAGATAGATATATGATTATTCCCATTTTATAGATGTTGAAACTGAGGTTTAGAGAGATTAGGTAATTGACATAAGGCCATGCAGTTGATGAGTGGCAGAGCTGGGATTTGAACTCAAGTCTGTCCTGCTGCAAGCCCTATGCTATTCTGTACTGTGTGCATGAGTGTGTGTGTGTGTGGGTGCACACATGTACATAATGTTTGCATATATTCACATAGCCCCGCATTCACCTAGTCGCATGTGCTTGCCCCCAGATGATACTGAGTTGTTTTCCCCACAATGATTATGGATTTACAGTGACCTCCTATGCTTCCTTGCTCACTGCCTTTGTGAATTGGACGTTCTACATTTAACATTGGAATACAGGGCAATGGTCCTTAACCATGGTTCCACTTTCTTAGACCCACTCCAGACCAAATGAACTGGACTCTCTGGAGAGTGAAGACCAGGCAGTTTTTAAATGTTTTCCAGCTGATTCTAATGTGCAGCCAGGGTTGAGAACCACAGGGATAGAAGGAGCCGACCTAGCTAATCCAGGATCTCATCTGTGACCTGGGATATCAGCACCACACAAAGCCGGCAGCCCTCACCTGCCACTTCAGGGAACAGCCTATTCCCTTTGATCATGGTCTCTATGCCTGGTGAATTGGAATATGGACTGGGATGCCTGCCAGCACAGAATCATAGAATGTCAGCCCTGAAAGGGACTTATGTGATCATCACCCTTTTTAAAAGCTTATGAATTTTGAGTCATGTTCATTCTACCTTTGAATTTTGGAGATTTCAGCTATTTCTGAACACAGGAATAAATTGAAATGTTCACTCCAGTTAGCTCCCAAAGTGGAGTCCATTCATTTTTCTAAAAACCGAGCCTAACAAACACTACAATTATCTTCAACTTAGAGCATATTTTTCTCAGCTCACAATGCTGAGCCTGACAGATCATTAAAGACACTATTGCATTAATTCAAAGCAAGTCATCAGAGGCACTGGACTATTCAAGCACTGGGTTTTCAGGTGACTCTCCGTTGAAGAGATTGAGAAATGGGACACAAAGGTAAGCATTGCTCAGACCCCCTTGGAAAACGGATCAAAGTGGAGGAATGTACTCGGTCTCCTGCCTCTGAACCAGTCATTTTCTATGTCACACAGGGCCGCCTGCTGCTAGCTAAGAGGTCATTTTGCCTTATGCCTTTTCACTTCACTAATGGAAAAGATCAAGAAATAGTTCCGTCTCTGTGGCCATCCTATTACCCTCAGATAATCCTACGCACTGACAGCACAGACCTGTTAACTCTTGCTACTCAAAGTGCAGCCGTGGGCCAGCTGCATGGGTGCCACTTGGAAGCGTGTTAGAAATGCAGATTCTCAAGCCCTGTTCAGGCCTGCTGCCTCAGAGTCTGCATTTAACTCACATTCTCAACATCAAAGGCTGAAAAGCAGTATAGCCCTGTGTCAACCACATCATTTTAAATCTACCCCATCTGGTGTGACGGGGCGGGGGGGTCATTTAACTCACATTCTCAACATCAAAGGCTGAAAAGCAGTATAGCCCTGTGTCAACCACATCATTTTAAATCTACCCCATCTGGTGTGACGGGGGGGGGGGGGGGGGTAGAAACATGGCAAAACTACTGGAGGGTGGGAGGATCACATAGCTACAAACACTCGCCCCACTCCTGGCAGCCCACAGCCCACCACCAGCCCACCAGCAAAGGATGATTAAATGGCAGCAAGAGGAAGCCTGTTCGGCAAGTAGCCATCGATATCGGCATGCCTCCCAGTCAGCCACAAACTGGGGGCTACAGATGTCAGTCTTTATTGCCTGGGCATAGCTGTGTGTTGTCCTGGACATCACTAGCCATTTCCAACACATCTGCAGGATATAACCTATTAAGACTCCTTATTGTTACAGCCACACCCAGAGGCTGCAGGAGGGATGCTAAGTGTAGCCTTTGGTGAGGCACCCGACAGCCCCACTCACAGTGACTGAGCTCGTGTCCTCACTGTTGGTGGCCTGGATTCTGAGAATATAGACGGGGGTTGTTTCATAGTCTGCTTTCATCACCAGCTGGAGTTCTCCCGTTCTGGGATTAATCCAAAATATATTTGGGTGCTGGAGGCTGGCCCCTCCGGCGGTGATGGAGTACACAGTGCTGCTTTGGGGCAAGTCTTTGTCAGCCGCTTGCACCTGTCCAACCCGGGTTCTTGCTGGAAGAGGAGCATATCTGGGGTTAGTCCTGCTTGGGGGGCAAGAGGACCCGGGAGCAGTTATCCTCACTGCCTCGGGCAGAAAGACTTTTAAAGGCTCTTTGCTGTCCAAACTCTGTTTTGTATCTTCAATTCTATTCTATTATATTCAGATTATGCTAATAAGCACCCACTAGGTAACTGGCCTAGGATCCAAGCAGTGCTGTGAGGGTCAAAAGACAATTCATGCCTTTCTCTAGAGTCCCAGCACCCCCATTATCATACAATCATAAACAACACCGCAAAGAACATTCTTGTGCATACATCTTTTTTTCAGCAGTGTTTTCTAAAAAGCCTTTCATATTTTTCTAAATTTATATAATGAGCACAAATTGCTCTTATCAACAAGATGAAAAACCAGCCATTTTTAAGGGTTAGCAATTGATGATTACAGACACATTTTTAAATACCCTTCCATTTTGCTTTACAGATCTTGTGGGTGGGGTTGATAGAGTTCGGCTTGCTTGTTTGTAGCCGGTCTTTCCCATCAATTACACTCCGTAAGGGCAGAAACCTTCTTCCTTCAACAATACAGCCCCAGCCCGAGGTGTTTGGCCCAAAATAGGTGAACAAAAATTATAGTAAGACCTGTGTATTCATAAAAAGCCTTGTCTACATGTGTTATTCACTGGCTAAGGTATAAGGAATTAAAAGCATTTTCTTCAGACCTTCTTTTTGAACTTAATGTCAGGAACTGGAGACTGGTAAAGAGAGAATAAAATGGAGAGGGCATCATTTTAGAGAGTTCGGGGTTCATTTGTTGGTTTCATATAGAAGAAGTTCCCGTGATAAAAGGATCACAAGCTGTAATGAAGTCTGGCTGCACTGAGTTAACAGGGCTGCCTTCAGACAGGGGAGGTGGGGAGGAGCTGAAGGCGACCACGAGGGGGTCAGAAAGGGCGAAAGAGGCCTCCAGTGAATCCTATTAAGGGAGAGAGAAAATGTCTTTATTTCGTTTTTAAATGAAAGAAATCTGGAATGGGAAAGCTTTTCTCTATTTTTAAATTTCAATTCTCTGAGTAAACTGGATGAAAATCACAGTGGAGACCAAGGGAAAACTTAGGCTACGAAAAGGGAGGATGAGCAGAATCAAGCAGAGAGGCAAGGAAGCCATCGGGAGCTTGGGGAAAGGCAGTTTAATCAACAGTTTTGAAAATCTTGATTTCACCTGAAGGGCTCCTCAGCAGTGAGGACAATTTAAAAAGAAATAAGAGGCGCGATAAACACGAATGAGCTGTGAATTGCTGTGCACACGACCACTCAGGGCCCTGGGAAGGAGCTTCACCAAATGTGCATCTGGGTGAAGGGGTCTGTCAACAGCACTGTGGTCTGTCTTGTCTGTCACTTACCTGGGCTTAATTCTGACACGTTAAATATGTAGGATGACCTTTCAAAGGCAAGAGGAAACTCGTTTTCTGGGCTTGTTATGAAATAAATGTAGATGTTATCTAAAAACAGAAGTAAAAAAATTAAATTGTTATATCCTATTCTCACTTAAGTATTTATTCAGCATTTTAAAAGCATCTTTTGTGTATGAGGCTCTGTGCAAAATAAAGGGGATACAAGGTGACTAGGACCTGGTGTTTCCACCTTCAAGATGCTTAGGTAGTCACCTTTTGTACAGGTCACTGTACAGGTCACTGCAGAGGCTGGAGGAAGCACCAGCAGAGGATACTTAGAGTTAGACACATGCGCTAAAGGTGGAATGGTGTGTGTGTGCAGGGGGGGTGTTTCTAGGCATGTGCAAAGATTCCAAGGTATAAAACTGCATGATTCACTCAAGAAAACTGCAAGCTGTTTGGCCTACTTGGAAAAAAGGGGCATAGAGGGGAACAACGGGAAATGAAACTAGAGAGTTAGGCAGGGTCTGGATGTTGAAAATCCTTGTGTGCCATGTCAAAGAGTTTGAACTTGCAATTGACAGCTATGAGGAGGCATTTGAAGGCTTTAAGTGAGAAAGTAATTAAAGGGTCCCCACCAGTAAGATGGCAAACTTCCGGCTTCTCTTCGGGGGTCCTCAGTTCCCGCCGGCGCCACCTGAAGCCCAATCACCTCTCGCCCCCCTCCCAATCCCAGCACCTAGCCAACAGCCACCAGCCCCGTAGAAGTGACACCTCAATCAATTCATGCCCCTTCCTATATAACCCAGCACCTTTCCCTAATAAAGCGGAACTCTCCGGTGAATTGCTGCTATGTGTCGCTCCTTTCCTTTCA